TGGTAGACTATATGTGTAAAAAAAGTATTAATTAAAATACTTACAGATATAAACTAACTCATACACCAAATTAGATAATTATCAAGTTAGTTGGAATGAATATCACCATACAATGATTTAAGCATGATACCGGCAGCTTAACCAGATAGAATTAAAAGATGTCTAGCAAGCAGTTATCTTTTTTTCCTCAAAACGACCTGCTTGTATGAAATTTTTAAAAAATTATATGTATTTAATTAGCACTTACTTATTTTATGTGTAGTTTTTTATTCAGACGACAAATTTGTTTTGCTTATTGGAAAGCTTGGCTTTATTTCAACAATGAGTGTTCTCCTCCTCAAGTCGCTAAATGATGATCTCGAGTCTTCATCGCAAGACCATTATGTACAAGTATGCAAATATTTTAAGCCATTTTTAGCGCTTAAGAAGCGCTGGATTTACGGCAGACGTAATTGAAAGCTTACGTTTTGAATATTTACCCGAGAATCTATCTATCCTAGCTGATTGGAGAAATAAATATAGTGCTGTTATATTTACTAGTCCCCGGTCTTTAAGAGCACTTAAAAAGTGCAAGATATATGGTTAGCTTAATTATCTATTATATAAAATCGGCTAACTTTTTCCCAATATATAGCCTGCTATGAAACTTAAAATAATGCTCTATGCTATTATAGTATCCTATATTATATTTTTTGTTTTTATGTTTACTATCTGAAACTGATTCAATAGGTAAAGAAAGCGATCTTTGTTTTGTTGTCGGAAGGGCATCTGCCGAGTTGGGTAAGTCCCATTTTGACACATTATGATAAGCCTGTGAACTTCACTTCGACCCTAAAGGGGCAGAATGTGGGGATTCACATACGCTAGCAGAATTTATTGTCAATAATTATAAGAAAAGTAGGTCCATATTCCCTTATAGTCAGAAATCGATAAACCTGTTTTATTCGTCACTGGTGAACAGCATCTGGACGATTTGCCAAGATTTTTGGATGCAAATGGTTCACCATATTTAATTCTTTAAAAAAATTTTAGGCATAAAAGTTGACACAACTGTAGCCTATGTTTCTACAGTAAATAAGGATTCTACAGAAAAACTCCGTCTTGCCTTATGTGTAAACGCTCCGTTTAATATCACTCTAATTTTTATAAATAGTAGAAAATAGAACATTTAAATAACTTTTTAGTTATATTATGCAATACTTAATCCATTAAGCAGGTTAAGTTATATTTATTTGTATTTACGTCAGTTTGAAATGACTTTTTTATATGATCATTGACTGGCTACTGTATGACGCAGTTCATTATATAGATATATATATATACCTCAGAATAAAAATCGAAAAAACTCAAATAATAACTATTAACCTGTATTTATATTAAGTATGTCTTAGTACCACTTGTACTTTTGTTGATTGCGATACATAAATTTGCTTTCGCATTTTTGAAACTATCCAGCTTAGCAATAGCATCATGTAATGAATGTCAGACATTAGTTCTTAGACTCTTCATACTTAACTCACTTATCAGGTTGCGAAATCTGGCTATATAATGTAACTTCTTTACTATCCGATTTTTGTATTTGTATGTTATTCAGTATTATCTGCACAGCTGTCATATATCTATACCTAATGTAAAGGGTACGTTTAGCCTATCTTTTCATGCATTTATATTTTAGACCTGAGTTAGAAGAGCTCTGTATCACTGCCTTCTTGCCTTGATAATCTGTTCAAACTTGTCTTTTCTATCTACAGCCTTTGTTTAAATTCCGCATGAGGTTCTTGTGCGGCCTATGTTCGGATGTTCGCCCTTTTAAATTGTGCGACAAGGTCTTGTCTCCACCTCATTTCGACACAAACTTGTTTTATTACTTACTTACTTTATTTTATTCATTGGACACTTGGTAACGGAAGGATCCTTAACATTTTTTTATTGCTTATAAATTAAATTGTTCTTTTGCTTAAATAATATTTTAGGAAGGAGCCTCAGCCCCCGACTACTTAGTATTTTTCAGCCCTTCATTTGTTAATTTCGTGGAGGGGATTATCAAAAACGAAATGCTTCCATATCGACCTAATATAAAAGTACGATAGAGTTCCACATCTTTCTTCGTCCAATTAATCGCTGAGCCTCTATTATTGAAACTGTTTTTATTTCTGATCCTAATATTTTTGATATGCAAATACTTTATAATTCTCATTTTTGAAAATTAATCTGGTTACTATAACTTATCCCATCTCTCTTTTCTACCATGACTAAACAGTAATGTTTATATTAAACAAATTCTTAATTTTGTTTTATTTTAAAAATATAATCGTTGCTTAGTTATATTAACTTCTACTTAATCTACCTAGTAAAATGCAGACTGATGTTCTATCAGAGGTGCTGAAGAAAAGAGTTTGATAATAAAAAGTAAGACATCGGCCAACTTCAGTCCTTATATAGCACAATTTAGATTACTTTTAGGATGTAATTGCCAAGATCCGGATTTCTGATAGTATGGGAAAATCTCGGGCAAAGTAAAATTAACATTGTTAATTTGGATGACAAATTCGACGGATTGCTTTTTTACAAGTTCCATTAGCTATATTGTCCTTTTATCCTACTAAAGCTTAGCAATGGGTATTTTAAATTAAAGTATGATTTTAGCATATTAATTTGCATTCTAATCAGCTTTATATTTTAATATGGGTTACTATACGGAAAAGATTTCTCATTTGTTGAATAAACACTCCATTCTCATTATTTTTCGTACAATATAGCACATTTTTGGAAGAGTGATTTCACCGGAGACTGAAGTAGGATTGCCTTGTATTATTTCTAGACTTTCACGAATAATTCCT